GGCGGAAGGAAACCCACGTACATTTCGCTTGGAGTTTACGAAATCATTTGGGGTGTTCACAGTTCGTTCCAAATTGTGTCTGAAAATGTAGACGTCTACATTTTGAGACATCTTTAGCATCAAACTGTGAGCACCCCTTTCTAGCAGTCGTCGCAAAATCGTCTCAAAACTTTGCTGGTGTTGCCAGACATTTCCTCTTTGCGTGCATTTTTTATATATCGCCTTTCGATTTTGTTTCTGAAAAATTGTAATTATTTAACTTAATTACCAATTCCTAATATTTGTTATTTCTTTTCCTTGATTTGTTTCTTTTCATCAGAAATTGCGCTCAAATTAAATGCAAATACAAAAAACGTGCCCAATAAATAAAAAAAAATGTGATTAGTATTGCCATAATGCAACCCTGCTGCGAGGTTGCAAAATGTAGACACGTAAAAAACATACCTTTGAGTGTGACAAAATGTAGACGGCGTCGTTTTCCAATTTTGTATGGGAAACAACAACACCACAGATTTTACGGTTAGAAAACGTCTTAAAATGTAGACGTCTACATTTTCAGACACTATTTGGAACGAACTGTGAACACCCCAATTATATTCAAATTATTAAAAAAAAAATCAATTATCACAAAATGGGTATCAATCGATATGGTTTTGAAAAGCTTTGTTTCTTTACTGAACTATACGAGGGTTTCCACCTGTTTAACAAATCAAATTCAATTTGAATTAAGAGAATTAGGTAAGGGAAATTTGTATGTATAACCATATGAGTGCCAAACGAAAGGGGTTTCAGAAAGTAGTAGTATTTTGAACACGGTTGCCATCTGCTTGAAATGTCGAATTTACTTTGTTTATACACAAGTTATATGAAATATTAAAATATGGATGTCAAACGAAGGAGTAATAAAAAATCTTTAGTTTGAACGCAAAGAATATTTTTGAGGTGTTGGAAGAGGGTTTCCTCCTGTGTTTAAAAAGTTAAACTATTATTAAATTAATTGAATTAACTAATAGCGTTTTCTTTTCTCGAAATAATGTTGCCTATATTCTGCCCTGCGCCAGGGCTGTCAAGTTTTCGTGTTCTTTTCTCAGCATCTTCACATGTGTAAGTATGCATTCCCATATTTACATTAAATCGAAAATTCAATAAATAAAATGAAGCTGATTCTAATGAGATTTGAAATATTTTCATATTTACAAAAACTTTAATTTCAAAGATGTTGAGTTTTATCAAATATGGTAAATGCATAACAAAGGGTTAATTTCTTTGTTTACATTTTTTGACATTACAGTCAGGTATGAGAGAGCTCGACTGAATTGTCACTTCTACCTTGTTGAATATGCCTTGGTATGTATGTACAATTTTTACTAAATCAAAAAAATTATTAAACGATAATAAAAACTTGGTGCTCTTCTTTTGGAAAAATTACACGAATTTTAACTCGCAAATAAGTTAATATGTATACGTTGCCATCGCCGTACAGCTCACTTTTCTCGCCTAGCCCTTTTGCGCGCTTGCAGTTGCCCGCGACGTCGACTGCGTGCACCTCTGCGGTGCATTCCTACCATAGCCTATAGTTGGGTATACCTAACCGAAAGGACCCATTCATTAACCATAACTTTGAAGAGAATTTCAAATCAGCGATTAAAAAAAAATATAAAATTTTTTCAAGCTCTGATAGCGACTCCTAAATATGTGTAGAAAAAAAAAAAATGGATGCTCCATAAAAAATTTAGATATTAATATTTTTAAGTACCACCCTAATATACATGCGACATCCAAATTTACTTACATTTTCGCAACACTATTCAGTGGATTGTTGGAATTGCACAGAACGCTGTATACAGAATCGACTTTGCTAAGTTTCTCAAACAGCGGTATCAGTTCAAGTAATTCGGAATCGTTTGTGTCATCAAACCATGACTTTACAGGAACCTAGAAAGGAATAAAAAGAAATAAATGTTTAAAAATTTTAGAAATTCGTTATAAAAATCAGCATGTTTAACTTTGAAAAAATCTACGTATTTTACTTAATTAAGTAGACTTTTTTGCATCCAGAAACTTTTGAAATTTTAACTCAGTTTACGATTTTCTAATTAATACATCAAACTCGCTTACCGCATTATCTGGATGAAATATATAACTCGCTGGTGAATTATCGACAATGACGATTTTTTGTAAATCACGTCCAAGACGATTTAGATCCTTAATATAATTTCCCCTGTAATAAACGCACGATTCCCTAAACAGTCTTGCACGAAATACATCCCATCTGCGGGAGAATAAAAATATATATATTTTTTTTTAAATAAAATTAGTTAATAATTGGTAATTCACACTCACTTGTCTAATAGATCGGCAACGGGATCTGCATATTTGGCTAGTGATGCTGTAAATAAAACACACTCGTACAATTCGCCCATTTTTCGCAGGAACTCATCGACGTAGGGCCTTTTGAGTACGTAAACTTGATGTATGGTGCCATCAATTTCCACTGGTACAATAAAATCAGCATTTGGAATCGGCTGTAAGAGAATATGTAGTTAAAACGATTAATATTTAATTTTCAAATAAAACCGTTAAATATGTATGGGCGCCAATAAAAATAAAATGACTGCGTACGCGATAAGCTATTTAAATTGCATGGCTTGCAAAAAGCTTAGTACGCTTTTAGGCGTTTACTCACGTACATACATATTTTGCTTACCTTAAAACTACTGTGCACTAATGTCTCATCCAAATCGATGACCATGCATTTTTTATGCATATCCGAGTGCCTAACCTGAGGTAGTAGGTACCTTTGTTGGTCCGGTAATGGTGGCGGTGTTGTGGAACCATCGATTGATGTGCCATTTTGATTGGTTTTCGTGCGATTACGTCGCCAGCAGCATAGAAAGGATTGAAAGAAGCCGCGTTTTGGTGGTTTTAAGCGTTCGACATCGTCTGCAACATTTGAAAAATTGAATATGTACAATAAATATTAGAATTGGGGTTTATTGAAATTTAGTTTTAACACTTATATTTTATTTATAACGCAAATTAAGTATCTACATAGATTTCGATGGAAATAACTTTTTTTTCGCAGGGACCGAAATTAACCGTTAAAAATTAAAATTTTTGATTTTTGATCATTGCAAAATCGTTAACTTGGATTTTAATTTTTTTCCACTATATTTGATCGTATTTTGTGATTTTTATTTTTTTCAATAAAAAATTCGTTATTTTAATTTTTATTTATTTTTATCATATTTGACGGTCACAATGTAGACTTAAATCTTTTATGATCTAAGAAATTAAATTGGAAAATAGCAGTTATAATTTCATCTATTGTATGTTATGATCGAAAAAATAAAAATCAAAAATTACGGTTAAATTTGTTCTGAAATTATTTATGACTTTTATTACAAAGATCATAACCGTAACAGTCCCGGTTTCCACGCTAGCATTTTGTGTGTAATTTATTTGAACTAAGCCCCGATTTAAGCCAGGAATTTCCATGATAGAGAGTGTAAAAATTAGCTTTCGCTGTGATATCCTTTTAACAGCTACAAGCTTAAAGTATTGCACAAATCACCTGCCCATAAACAATGTATGTATATCGACGGCAGTATCGGATTGAAAGTTGAGCCGATTTGTTTATCGATAATTTATTTAGTAATATATCAATAAACAAATTGAGAATGTCAAAAAATGGTTTTAAAAGTCAACAGCATATCGATAAATTTATCGAAAACGTTACCAATAACAATACTGATAGATATTTGTAGATGAATCGATAACAGCATCGCAATAAAAGCGGAGTGAGCTTATTTATCGATGACGATATCAAAACAAATAAATTAAAAGTATCGGAGAATAGCATTACAAATCGGTAACGGCATCAATAGATTTATCGATAAGAAATTTAGTAGATTTATGTATCAATTACTATAAAAATTACCGATAAATACATCCTGCTACAAATATATTGGGATATTGACGACAAAATATGTATATAACGGTATCGGCTTTGAAAACAAATACGAATAGGAACTTGTCATGAAATCTGGATATAATAAGAAAAAAGTAGACTGTTTCACATGAACGCTCCGTGATTTAGGTAAGCAAAGAGAGTTTATGATTAGTGATTGTACTAAAGACTAATGGCCTTATACATAAAAAGTAAAGTAGAATTAAAGATAAAGTGATATTTTCAGGCAAATTTTCGATTTATAAAGCAGTTAAAATCTTTTTTACTTCTTATAAATTTAGCGTAAGAATATAAACATCCGTAAAAAAGTTGTTGAACTGGTCTAAAAATAATAATACTGCAGAAGGAGTTATTTATATATATCTTGGACTGTCTTTTCCGCTTTGCTTTAAAACGAAAACACTTGTATGCAAAAATTTATTGGCACATTTACTAATTTTATTTAGATTAATTGCTCTTTCAAAATAATACAGCACAGCTACAACTCGTTTTCGATTCCAATTTGTTTACCCTTAACGATCATTCATCTTATTTACTTGCTGACTTTAGTTTGTTTTTATGTTGCAAGAATTTGTTTTTCCTGTCACACGTTTGCGTTTGCCGAACCAGCAAACTTAATTGCTTTAATTGTCAATGACCTGCTGACTGTCTGTTGTCGATGAAGGCACTGGCCGACGACGCGCTTTCGCTTTCGCTGAATTCGCGTCTTTATGCAGTAGTAGGGCTCTGGCAATGTAGGCACCATTTGTTATATGCTAATACTTTTTTATACATATATCTACATACTTATATGCATTTATGTTTTAGTACGCCTCGCAAAAAAAAAAACAATCTCTTGTAAATATGCGTAAGAAAATGTTCCTAAAGTACATTAGTTAAAATGCCTTATAAGTACGTAAAATTTGCTCACTGAATTATGACTTCGGACGTGTAGACTATGGACGAGTAGAAAAACTATGTGTCTAGAGAATTGTCCATGTATGACCAAACATTAACTGGACTTGCAGCTCTGCTCCAGCCGCTGGCGTAACAGGTGCATTGAGATTTTGTCCGAACAACAACTAACAGCGTCACCCAACTGCTTCTCTGGAGCTCTGGAAAGAAAGGCCGTTCGGGCATAGTTCCATCCTAAATGCATTACCGCATGCAATTAAAGCGCTGCCTACTAAATATATCCTGGCGAAGACCTGGGTTAACCATAAACCACGCATGTAATTCCCAAGCCGCAGTGATTGGACTCAGGGGTCCAGTTCTTGGAGCGCTTAACGTTTTTTACGGACGGATCAAATACGGAATGCGGGGTTGGTGCAGGGATTTTTATTGAGCAATATAACCTGAAGCAATCCTTCCGCCTACCAGACCATGCAAGCGTTTTCTGTGTGAAAAGCTACACAGAACAGCATTCTTGTCTTTTTTTTAATAAAATGAAAATTAACTATTTTTATAACATAATATAAATAAAAAAATCGAATTAAATAAAAATAAAAGAAATAGTTTTAACTTGTCGATATGTGGGTGTCGTATAGTTATGATAAGCTATAGTGTCCTCTTGGCGGGGGAGTCAAACTCAAGTCGCAACTAGTCCTTTCTTTCAGCTGGTAGTTTCTCCAAGAAAAAAAAATTGAGTTACTTCATTTCTTTTGTACCAGTTTGTGGTGAGTTACAAAGTATTCCAAAACTACCCATTTTCTTAAATTACCTTGTTCTTCACCCTGCTGCTTAAGTGTACATTTTTAAATATCGATGGTCCTCTGCAATAACGGCACAACTCAAAATTTCATGGTTTTGAGTAATTTACCGGATTAGGGTTTTAAATGCCCATATTTTGCCCGTTTGTCACAAAACCGAAGTAGGCAACTCTTACTACTCAGAGAAAAATATGACACATAAAAACAAGAAGATTGCCTCTATGAAAAGTTTCGAGGTTAAGGGCTAATCAGGTGAAACAAAGAAAGTTCCACAGAGAGTTTATATTAAAATAGACAATGAATGGAAGTAGGTATTCTCTGCATGTTTTCTCAACGTAGCCGAATGGATGTTTGTATTTCATTGAAAATTACTTCATAATTGTAGATATGTGATATCTTGTTGAATTTATTGAATTTCTCCGCACAGTTTTTTTAATATTTGCAAAGTTTTTCGAAACAAATTTTTTTCGTTAAAATGTAGTTCATACTGCATCAAATGGTATATAAATTAATGTTCCAAAATTTTTTCAAAATTTGGTACAATTCGACAAATTTTCAATTTTTAAACATAAGTTTTTAGAATTTTTTTGAGTATTCTGTTTTTTAGTTCACTCAATTCCAGTATAAGAAAGTGCAAGCTTTAAGTCGCTATAAAATACCTTTTTGACGCCCTTTGGAATTTTTCCCCATACAAAAAAAAAATTATCTCGCATTTGTTATATGAAGAAAATGCGCAACATCGTCTTATAGCCCCTTAGACTTGCACTTTATTGTACTGAATTTGAGGGAACTGCAAAACTGCATACTCAAAAAAATTGTAAAGTTTTTTTTATGTTGAAAATTTTGGTAAGAATTTGTCGAATTTTCCTAAATTTTGTAAAAACTTTGAAACACTAATTTATATGCCATTTGATGCAGCATGAACTATTTCTATAAAAATTCACGAAAAAAATTTATTATGATAAACATTGCAAATATTAAAAAAAAACACTGTGCGGAGACTTATTCTGGTGTTCGAGTATCCATACACTTGTTGCTGCTGCCGCCTAAGTGCTCACGCCACAATGCACAAAAAATTAGGGTCAAATAGCTCAATTGACCATAGGGTAACAAACTAACACCTACAAAACTAACAACACTTTCGTATTCACAAACACCGGCACATATATACATATGTAGGTACATTATTTTTTAATGCTACATAAATCGTTGGCTGGCAAAAGTTTGTCTGGCTGCCACCCAATTAAGAAAAAAGGTAAAAGTATTCATATGTACATATATTTGTAAGTATGTATGTGCCATGTCTCTCTGCATTTAAATACGAGTAAATGTTGCTTTTGCTACTCGTACTATTGAATTCTAGTTTTACTTATACGATATTATTTTTTGGCAAGTTATACATAAAAACCTTTATTTGTATACTTCATACGCCTATGTATGTAGTAACACTTTAAGCGCTCCGGTAAAATTAATTTCCTGTTGGATAAACGACGTGAAAAGCAAAAACAACCAAAAACGAATATTACTGAGTTGCATAAAAAAAAGCAGTGAAGGCATTCAAAAAAAAAAACGAACTCGAAAAATTAGCAAGAATACAAGCGCTGCTGTTGCCGCTGCTGGCTGACCCAATTTCGTTTGTGACCCAAGTAATTCAAACAAATGCTGCTAATAAATGTTGCACATTCATGCATAGTATGCGTATAGATGCAAATATACCCAGTGGGAAAAGTAGTAAGTAATGCATTACATGCGTGATAAATAATGTTATGTATTTCTTATGAGTTCTACATAGATTCTATTTTGTACTGCGTAATATAATGTATTCAAAAAGTTGCCAAAAATTGATATTAAATCACATTCATTCTTGCTTTACTGGTGATGCCAAATTGAATGCCACACTTTGCTTAGGACAACGCCGTGGGAAAATAAAGGCATTTACGAATGTGAAAACGGCTGTTTTACTGATTATTTTTTAGATTACTATACATTACATTTTCCCACTGGGTAGTTTGCATTTGGACATATGTATGTATTCATACCTACATAGTGTATATGTATGCATATGACATATGAAGCCAAATTGTGGGTGAAAGAGCAACAGTTGCTCAGGTACAGGGTGTCAATCAGCGTTAGAACTTTACTACGATCGTAGCAGATTTGCTACGATTTTTGATGAAAATTAGACATTTACTACACTACTCCACTTTAACTACGATCTACTTCGGTTTTCTTTCCCAAATAATAAAGAGCACTTAATGCAGTATCTGAAGTCAAAAAATGGTCTA